TAAGGACTCTAGCTAGCTAGTTTATATTAACTTTAACCTTATACTTATAAGGGAATTAATAATATTAGCCTTAACTTAATAACCTTATAATAGTAGCGTTATTACTCTAGCACGCCCTTGCGCTGTAATTATAACAGCTATACTTAAATATAGATTACCTAACGTTATATAGTTAGAAGTTGCTACAGATAGCCTTATACTTACTATTAGAGACTTAAATATCTATAACTTACCTACATGCCCTTACTATAAAGGCACCTGCTAGGTAGCGCGTACGCTAGGCTTTCTAGAGTAAAGGAGTAATTACTACCTTATTAATAGCTATATTCTTGCACTATAGGCAGCAGATATTATAAAAAATTAGTGTATAGCTAATAGGCTGTTAATTTATGTAGAGCTTACGTTAGTTTAACTTAAGGATTAATGTGCTATAGAGGCGCGGAAATAAGGTTGTAGAGGTAATATTAATAAGGGTAGAGAAGGTGCAGGTAGTAATCTAACTAATATCTAACAGCAGATATTGCAGGAGCTTTAATTACTTAACTAATAATTAACTTAATATTATCCTCTGTAGGCTCTATTGTATCTTACTACTGCAAATCCTTACGTACCTACTTAAGATCCTGCGCCTACAAAATAGGCACCTATTGCGTATAATAACTATAAGGAGATAGTAAGGCATATATATAACTTTATTTAATATTAGTTAAAGTAATTACCTTAGTAGAGAGATAATATTATAGATATATATAACAGCGTTTATAAAGAGCATTAATTTAATATTAATTAACTTTAAGATCCTTCTAATTCTAGCGTTACTATAGAAATATAGACGAACTATCTAAAGAGAATGCCTATATAACTATTAGCCCTACAAAAGGCCGTAAATTAATAGTAGCATTAATATAAGGGCCTTATAAAGGCTAATAGGGACTATCTATAAGATTATATACAGGAAGTTAAGGATAATAATAATTAAGAAGGCTAATTATTATATAAAAGTATAGTGTTTTTACTATAAGTTATCTGTTTTTACTATAAGATATCTGTTTTTACTATAAGATTAGCTCGTGTATTACGTTAATTAATCTGCTAACTACTGTTTAGTTATTATATGCTATGTATTTATCTATTTATTGCATAATAACTTTAATTTCTAGTATACAGAGATTACTGTATTACTTAAACTAATATCTATAGTAATAGAAGAAGCCTTGCAAGTTACTATAACAACACTAAGATACGCTATAGTTTAAGAAATATCTATAGTTTAGCTAGGTCTCCGCATCTTAATTATTCCTCCTTAGCTACGCCTTTAACTAGTAAAAGGATTATTTAATTAGATTGTAATTAGGCGAATACAGTAGCAAATACTTAAGGATAACTCCGGCCTTATTATAAAGCTTACGTACATAAGGAGATTAATAGATAGAGGCGTTATCTAATATAAGGACTAAACACAGCAAAGGATATTAATTATAATTAGCCAGGACCTAATATCGTTAATATAATAATTAAATACGGCAATAGATATTAATTATAATTGCCTAAGAGATATTAATTACAATTACCTAAGAGATATTAATTAGTTGCCTAAGAGATATTAACTGCAATTGCCTAAGAGATATTAATTAGTTACCTAAGAGATATTAATTACAATTGCTTAAGGGATATTAATTAGTTGCCTAAGAGATATTAATTACAATTGCTTAAGGGATATTAATCAGTTGCCTAAGAGATATTAATTACAATTACTTAAGGGATATTAATTAGTTGCCTAAGAGATATTAATTGCAATTGCTTAAGGGATATTAATTAGTTGCCTAAGAGATATTAATTGCAATTACTTAAGGGATATTAATTAGTTGCCTAAGAGATATTAATTGCAATTACTTAAGGGATATTAATTAGTTGCCTAAGAGATATTAATTGCAATTACTTAAGGGATATTAATTAGTTACTTAAGGGATATTAATTAGTTGCCTAAGAGATATTAATTATAATTGCTTAAGGGATATTAATTGCAATTACTTAAGGGATATTAATTGTAATTACTTAAGGGATATTAATTACAATTGCTCCTTACCTAGTATTTTAAGAAGTGCTTAAACACCTTAGCGTTAATTAAGCCCTAATATATTATATAGGCAATATATCTGTTAATTATTATAGCTAGAAGTAAACTCTATCTCTTAGAGCGTTTAACAGAGTAGGAAGTAGCGCAAGGCCTATTTACTAGAGCCTACCTACGCTTCCTATTACCTGTACGTTTATTAGCTGCTAACTCGTTAATACAGATAATCTAATTAGGTCTCTATTCTTAAAGGCGTGCCTGCTAGGTTGTTAATATAGTAATTAGATCTCTCTTATTAAGGGTATAAGGTAAGGCCTGCCTTAAATACTTAGCAGAGAGGCTTACTATGCTTACGCGTAGATTGCTTAGCTACCTTATAACTCTATTAAATCTCTGCTAAGAATCTTTATATAGTTCTATTACTTATATTAAGGGCAAACTTATTAAATAAGAAGCCTTAGAGCTCCTGTAAATATAAGGTCTTTTAGATAGAGATATACTTAATTAGCGCCCGCTTATGTATCTCTAATAGATAAGGCTCTAGACTAGGCTAGATTTAGTATGTAGATAGAGGATAGGGCAATCTGTATAACTTAAGGCTTATTTAGATTCCCCTAATACACTTCTACGTAACACTAAGCTCCCTTAATATTATACGCAGTAAGTAATTAGCCTCTAGCCTTATTAATACCTTACTAAGTATATCTAGCTTAAGTTAATTGCCTTTATGCGCTATAACGTATTAGGAAATAATAATAAATAATTATATTATAAAATAAGGAGATATAGCACTATAAATATAGTATATTTATTAAGATTTATTAGTTTTATATCTGCTTATACTAAAACGTATAGTAATTAATAATCTTGGCGAAAATCTATTTATACTCCCTTGGCGGGGGGGGGTACCCAACATCCTGCCGGACACAATAGGAGCTAGATAGATGCGCATCAAACAACTAATGTGCCCGCCCATTTCAGCGACTCGTGCCCTCATCAGCAAATATACATGCGGAATGTCCGACTATCCCATGCCAGATAGTAAGAAACCCTTTTCCAGATAATTGATATCTTTCCGTATATATAGAAGCTGACATTATTGATGTTGCTCGATAGAGTATCCAAGCCACTTGACCTCGACACAATTCCAGGAGTACATCGAGTCATACGCAAAGCATTTCGATCTGCTCAAAGATGTAGTATTCGGTGCTTCTGTGAAGAAGGCATTCCGCACTAAAGACGATACCAAGTGGCGCCTGGAGATTTCCATCGACGGCGAAGCTAAAGAGGAAGAATTCGACAAGGTAGCGTTTTGTCATGGTTATCAGACCCAGCCGGTGATGCCGGACTACGAGGGAAAAGAGAAATTTGAGGGGACGTTGATGCACGCTCAGCAGTTCCGCTCGTGAGTTCCAATTTCAGTGTTGCATGTCAAAGTGGGCACTGACAAATGGGTGCAGGGCTGATGACTTCAGTGGGAAGATTGTCATTGTTGTCGGTATGTCTGCAACGGTCTCCGACATCATCAACAATCTTCTTCCCGTAGCGTCAAAGGTATACATGTCCCACCGTCGAGGTGGCTACATTTTGCCTACATGGCGAAATGGCACACCCTTAGATCTAACCATCACCTGGCGACGTCGGCAAATGGGAGCGTTCCTCCAGCGAAATCTTCCTGGCGTGGCCGCATGGAGTGCAGACGCCGGTTGTAAGTTCATCATGAGCAACATATGGGGAAAGCTGGACCCCGCTTGGCGTATTTTGCCCTCACCTCCTATCACCTTGTCGATACCGGGCGCTTCGAACACCCTCATTCCGTTACTTCGGGAAGGCAAGATCACGTCGCTGCACGGTATCAAACGTTTCACTGGCCCACGCTCTGTCGAGCTCAACGATGGGTCCATCCTAACCGACATCGACGCCGTCATCTGCGGAACAGGCTACTCGGCGAACTTCGACGTTGCACCCTTCCTCGAGCGCAGCCGTCCCCAGAACTACGGAGGCCCCGATCTTGTACGGTTGTGGATGAACATGTTTCCTCCCAGATATGCCGATAGCATGGCGCTCCTCTGCCACTCGGCATTTGGCAAAAACAACGGCTTCTCCTTCAACGACGTACAAGCCATGGCCGTCAGTAACATCTTCCGCAACGTCCACCCTCTCCCATCCCTTGCCGCCATGAAGGCCAGGATCGACGCTCATCACGAGTGGCTCGCTCAGCGCTGGCGTCTCGAAGCGCCGGGTTTCGATCCGTCGGCGGTGCGCACGTGGGAGTTCCAGGATTTCCTCCATGATGTGGCCGGCACTGGAATGGAGAATCTCGGGTGGGGATGGAAGGGCTGGAAGTTTTGGTTCAAGGACCCCAAGATGAGCTACATGATGAATAATGGGATCGAGACGGCGCATGCGTTTAGGTTCTTTGAGACGGGCAAGAGGAAACGGTGGGAGGGGGCTAGGGACGCGATTATTAGGGTGAATAAGGCCGTGGAGGTGTTTCCGCTGAAGGATAAGACGGTATTAGAGTGAAGCGAGGGCCACGATAGACAACAACAATAACCGTTATAGTATATTGGTCTCCGGAGACGGAGAAATGCTGGCGTTTGTATGTCCGATGACTTCGTCACGTGATGGGAATCGAATCACGACCAATCCAAGGACAGGAACCCGTCAGGGATCGAACAAGTCGATCGAGTGTAGGCATTTCCATGCACATTTCTCCATCGAATTTGCTTTCTCACCTTTGGCAACGTCTATCTGTATGTTGACCCCCATGTTGATGTTGTCCTCGCAAGTGTTTCATCTATAAATGGCAGACATGTTTGAGTTCGTATATTAGACGCCTTGTTTAGGACATGGGGGGGGCCGCATTGCATATTGTACGGTACATACCCGTACATACATTGACTCACGACACGCTTCACAACGTCCCTCGACACCTCATTCTTCACCATGAACTAACCTTGTTACATACTATCAATTCCTTGGAGACAATCCCGGCCTTCCTTTGCACGGCACCTACCTTTGTACATACAGCTCCGAACCTCTACATACTTCCAAATCCCACTACATTATTACTGACCGCAATGCTCATTCGGCGCGAAAGCGTCATTCATACAATACAGTACATGCATACATGCATACATGGAAGCGGCGGGTCTTGGCCTCGCTGCCATAGATCCTTGTTCATGTGTTTTCTTCTTCTCCGCACGCACGACATCCATGTCACCGTTTCTGTTCTTCTGGCTGGGTCGGTCGGACGTCGTGGTGGAGAAAAAGGAAGACACTTATGTACATATAATGAATGGCTTTGGCACAGGGAGGAAAGGATATTATGCCGTACCTATATTTATCGTTGTGACGAGGCAGGGCAGGGCAGGGCAGGGCAGGGCAGGGCAGGGCAGGGCAGGGGCCGGCCGGCCGGCCAGTGACAAGGATGGACTACCGCATAATCTGGCATAAATGAGGTATGCTAGGCTCAACTAGGCAAGTCTCCCGTTAATATGATTTGAGGGAAGTTTGGATAAAGTAGGGCTGATTTTGAGTTAGTCATCATGCATTTGAACGTCAGCCTATTAATCTACTAGAGACCCATTTTTACTCTTCGAAACTGACTTGCGGCTTAAAATCAGCCCCACTTTATCAAACTTCCCTCAAATCATATCAACAGGAGACTTGCCTAGTTGAGCCTAGCATACCTCATTTATGCCAGATTATGCGGTACATATGTATGTATGCATGCATGCTCAGATGCAGGCACGCAATGACTGACTACCTATTAGCGAGATGGAGGAAATGCATCTATTTTTAAAGAGAGTTTTACCTACCCGACATTGATGCTAATAAATCACTTCCAATCCTTCGCTGTACCTATGTATGTACATACAGTGGGGAGTGGAGTGGAGTGGAGTGGAGTGTATTGGTTGGTGAGTGGAATTTCCCGTCATCCTTTGATGACACAATATAAGAAGATATTCGCGCATATGTATATGTCGGTCGAGAAATGCTGTCGCAACGCTCATTCACAAAGGAATCATGGCACCTCTGCAGTGCATCTAAAACCTCGACAGTGGAGTCGATGCTATGGATGGAAGATTGAGGGGGCATGCATGAAACAAGGCACAATCAGTTCATTTCAAGTGGGCACGTGCTGAACATGTATGCAGGCTTATCAAGTTAATCGCCAACAAAATAGTGAACAGAGCTACACCATCTTGTGAACTAGTCCAATTATTGAATCCTGCGCAATAGAAAACGCTACTATCCAGTTACGTACATGAATACTATAATTGAAAACACACAATAGCAGAGGAATGCGAGGATGAGCGCATGCTATTGTTCAAGCCAGGTATGTAGTATAACCCCCCGCTTCCAACCTCTTCGGACAAGTATGAGATTTTATTCTCAAAAGTTCCAATCAAAAACACAAGTGGGGGCGAGGTACCATTGATCCAAAACGTTATTTTGTTTGCTGGTCCAAGGAGCCAATGCTTTCTTTCGACCTAGGGGCTGATAATCCAGTTTCTGTGAATCCACAACGCGCTGCGCAGTTGCTTCCATGACGAGCTTCTTCCATTGATCGGGGTGGGTCCAGAACTTCCTTCGCAACTCTGGGAGGTATTGGACATCACCAATACAGTATGAAATGATTTCCTTGGACATGGGCCGCTGGTTGAAGACGTCGTAAGAACCGCCATGTTGAGCCTTGAACAATCTCTCCCCTTGGTACTTCGCTATGAACCAGACCTCTCGCTGGATTGCGGAGATGTTTTGCTCGATACAGTTCGCTAATCCGGTCACAAATCTCCTCGACCATCTAGTCCTTCGAGTGGCACTCTCCATGAGCTGAACATCTTCAATTCCCTGCAAAGCGACGCCGAAATGTGCAAACAATGCATCCGAGTCGTTGCGGACATCAAAGAATACCTTTATGACACTCTCGTCCTGCAGAACATCCTTCAGTGTTTTATCTCTGGTGCCTGGAGTATTGAAAGCTTGTGCACCGAGGATGTGCACGTCGATGAGAAATGCTGGCGTTGTCCCGGACCCAGTATCGATCAGAAGCGTGAATATGGAGATAGAGCCCTCGCGGCAAAGAGCCACTCCTTCGATATCGATATACATGGCTGGCGTGTCCAGTGGTGACACATGAATGTCGACGAGTTGGTCGACTAGGCGACCAATCTGTTCCGGGGTGTTGATGATCTCGACGGCGATGGTGGCGGACATGGATCAACACGGCGAAAAGTAGTATTTTTATTCCTGTGAAGCTATCGCGTGATCGATGGGCTTGGTGCATCCGACAAGGATACCTAGAACATACGAGGTTGTGTGTGGAATAGTGTGTGTAACAAGTTGGAAGTTGGAAGGAGAACTATATAGGCTAGCGCCTTCCGGCCAACAAGAAGGCTACTACTCCAGAGAGCATATATCCTTCCTTGTCCAACATTTTGAAAGGGTTACGAATGCAAAGGTCCCACCAAGGTTGTTCTGACAGTATGACCTGACATGGTCAAAGACATCGAGCAGGAGATGGCCGAACTTGCCACAGACTCTCCGTTCTTCCGAATGTCTAGGGACCAGAAGAGACTGACCATGAAGTACTTTGGGGCCAATCTTGGTGGATTCGAAAGCCAATACCACACCTGGGAAGACGTTGCAATCATCATAGACCCCATTCCGTGGCACGGATATTGATCACCTTATGTACATACTTCGTACGTCGTAGATGCCATGCCCCTACCTGCCAGGTGATGCAAGGAAACTAGGTATTCCTGGCAGTACAAGCATGCAGTTTAATATTGAAGGAAGATATATCTTTACCAAGCCCCATGAGAGATACGATACTTTGCATGGTCTCTGCATCACCATCAACCGGCTAACTGACTTATGTTACAATTTGGAACGCCCAGGCTTACGACCTCGCCGGTTAGAGTTCGACCCGAAGTCGGAGTAAAATTACGGTAATTGAGACGACGCACGTGACCTTGGGAGCAGATGATGGCCAAAGTGCTGTGTGGCTAGGGGGTAATTTTGTGTAAAGACAGAGGAATAGAAGAGGGACATGTTATATAGATCAGATCTTACGACGTATTATCTTCTACTAACTACTTTGTACATACCTACGGAGTATTCGCTTTCTAGAAACAACCATGGGACAAAGTATGGAAGTACAGGGTAGTCGAAAGCTTATTAATGAAACAGGACTAGAAACGAGTCAAGGACCATGTCGGTTTTGCAACATTGACATCTGGAGGCGCTGCGGGGTAGAAGTGTAGCAGTATACATAGCTCGCTGGGGTAGCTCGCTGGGTAGGATAGCATCACAGTGCCGTCTGGTTCAAACTTCAATGATCCCTTGAGCTGCGCAGCTCTACACAGTAAAGCTGTACACAGTGTCGGTCAATGTGAGAATTCTATGCAATGTCTATGCGATGGAAAACTCCAGGGAAAAAAAGGAGGTGATTGGTCAAGAGTGGTCCGGATAGCCGGAGGGGCCACGTGTCACGTGAAATCATTGTTCGCTTATAACAAGGCAGGGGGTGAGGGGAAATTGTGATGAGCTGGCAACAAATACCGCAACGCCCAACCCCCAAAGAGTCACCACCTTCCCTCTCCACCCTCCCACCCCCGCCACCTCAATACCAGACCCTCATCGCCATTTACGACGACGACGACGACGACTCCGCATATAACGCACACGATGTTCGTTCAGTCAACATCGAGTGCGCTCGTCGCCACGTCGAGGACAAAGTTCCAGGGTTTCCGGAGGGGCTTTGCATCGCGAAAACAGCCCTCGTCTACACCGCCAGCCACGACCTCCGTCCACGTCTACGCACAGCAGCATCACAGTAAAACTCCCCAAGTCACTGTCTCTACCATCATCCTCCCCTTCGAACCCCGACCGGCCAAGTTTACACAACCCTCCAAGACATGGCGGTTCCTCAACCCTTCGTCGGCCACACTGCCGCGTCTCCCATCCTGGAGTCGCACCCTCCACTCCCAGATCGTGCAAAGTTCATCGGGACTGCCTAAACTCCTACCTCCCAGCATACCAACGCGATCGACACAACGGGCTGGGCTTAGTCCAGCGCCACTCATGATACGGAAGGACTCGGGGCGGTTGGGTATGCGGACATCGTTCAGCAGCGCGAGGGAGAAGGAGAGGACCGGCATGGAGATTATGACAAAGTGTGTCTACATGCCATGGCTCATACAAGGGGAATCGGCCGAGTCCCACGAGTGGAACGCGTTTCTTAGCAACCCGGTAGGCCACCAGTACTGCAAGGACCTGCACTGGTGAGGGCACGCTTTGCCGCCACTCGATTCTGGATTTCATAAACTTTTACACGCATTATATTTCGGCGCATGGGTTTTGTATTGGGAAACACGGTTATTGCATTAAACTCAACGGTTTCTTCTTGGGTTCTGGTGGGTACAAATATGGGAGGACAGGCATCGGTTGCATACTGGACGACTTCATGCAACGACCCTCCCCGGCACTTCGGCCTAATGATTCTGTCGACTTTAATTTCTCGCCAGGGCGGGACGCTTTCCCTTCCTTGACCTTCGCAAGCATAAAAGAGACAATGGGGCCGTACCGACGTCTCATCGGCTATCTTCACATCGCACAGAAAACGACGGTCGCTGTCGGAAACATTGTTGGCCAATCAGACCCTCGGGCGAAACTCCAACCTCTCAAATTCGTTTTTATTTTTCGGTTCATCTGAGTTGACTGTTCCACATTGGAGCGAACAATTACTTTCTCATCCCCCAATTTCTTTTGTTTAGATCAAGACGCTTTCTTCTCTCTTGACACCCTCTCCCAACTCAATTAGATATACATGATACCCAGTGTCAATACACGGCATCATGCCATTACCTTTTGACTCGAGTATTTTCCATCTTCTGACTCTGACTCTGAGTGTTTTCATCCCTAACCGTTTTGTGGCAGTCGGCCGCAGAGCGGAGCTTCTACGGTGATCGCCAAGAATCCCAAGATGCCCAAGATCGAACGTTCCTCTCATCCGGAAGGTAACTATGTATACATGAGCGGAGCGCTTGGCATCCACCTTTTATCCTCTTGGACCTGCGTTTCTGGGCCTTTACTCCATCTCGCATGTACTACAATGTCGGAATCGATGTACCTGGTTCTGATAAGCCGATTGCGACAGTTTGCGCAAGCAATTTACTATAGTGTGTCACTTTGGCGTGTTGCCGGGTAGTGGGGACTGTTTAAATATGAGAGCCTCCCCGGAGCTGTGGGTAGTGACAACCCTTGCGTCACTTTTGCCAGGGCGAGACTTTGTAAAACATGAAGATTCAAAGTGGATTGATTCTCGCGGGCGCTGCGCAAGCCTTCGCCGCATCGTATCCAAGGTCGACATATGAGCCATACCGGCCAATCGTCAAGTCAAAGCCGCTCCAAGATGCGATCACGACTGACGGGTGAGCAAACGTTGAATTTGCCATTGGCTTGCAACTAACGCAGTCTCAGTCTGGCGGGTAACCTGCAAAAGCTCAACAGCATCGCCGAAGCCAACAACGGCAATCGCGCATTCGGACTCCCTGGCTACGCAGCT